CATTTCTGCGATGATGGATTTTTCTCGACCCAGACAACAATCGGGTTATCAATTATGAGCACGTGCCACCATAATATATTACATAATGCTGAAAGCCGATCCCGGTCCGCCATCGACGCCTGAACCCTTTGTTACCGGCTCAAGCGCACCTTTGCATCTACAATTTTTTCAATGCTATTTATACTCGGGCATGCCGCATTAGCTCGGGGCTCTTTTAGAGAAGCTGGGGGTTTAAGGGGTAATGTTTAGCTGCAATTATTTCATGAAATGTAGCAAGATATCCCTGCATAAGCTATTTAGAGGGTTCGCCATTATGCGACGAAATATATATTGCTAATTAAGTTGTCGACCCGAATTTTACGTACTTCAAGTGCTAATAAAAGTTGAAGTTTATTTAATATTGTACGCATGAAATGGTTCCGGCAACGGAGTTGTAATAACGTTCTAGTGAAATGATAATAGGAAAAATGATTAGCTTAATAGATGGGGGTATATACCAAGAGTCTCAAAGTAAAAACTCCAGCCCACTCTCAATGCAAAGTCCCAAGCTACGCACTGTTCTACGCACGCTGCAGGGCATATATAGAAAAAACCCTAAAAACACTAAATCTTACCTGTTCTTAGAATCTTTAAAGAGTTAGCAATTCTAGAGAATTCAGAGTACATATGCCCGACTGAATGGATCATGGGAGGCAAGCCGAAACAGATAATGGCTGTTTTGTGTGATCGGTACAAAACATATAATAGCCAATTACTAAAGGTTGGACATTGTACCGCCAAACACCTGACAAAGTGTGCCACGGGCTAGAAAATTACTCATACAGCGGTCTAGTTCTTGAAAAGTTGCTGCATTAAGTCATTCAGAAGCGACAAGAAAGCGTATACATGGTGGATGAAAGGCGGCTGGGTGTTAAGTGAATGTATGCTATTAATGGCGCGCTAACGAAAACTTCACGTAGGGGAAATGAAACAGTTTCCACTGCAGCCGTCAAAGGGAAACTCTTTTTTCAAAGCTGGCAGAACGTGTCGCGACGCGGGATTATACACGCTCGTAATTTTCATCGGGCAAATCAGCTGAGCGTTTCTTTTCGACGCAGGAAAGAGGAAGACTCGAAGTCGTCGTGGCCGTGTCGCTGCGCCGTGCGGTGGTACAGCACACATGCTAGTTATGCTCTATACCTCCCCCGTCGCAGCGCCGTGTATCCTCCCCTCAGAACGCACTCGCGCGTGCGACCAACTAATCGATGACTCCAACTTTTTCGGTACATGGAAATTGATTACAACTTTTGAATTGTCCCGACGAACAACAAAAAAGCGCACAGACTATATCGAATAAACGCGGCTGCTCGTGCTCTCCATTGGCCTGGTTGAAAGCGCGTATGTAGATGTAGATGTAGCTGTAGCTGTAGCTGTAGCTGTAGATGTAGATGTAGATGTAGATGTAGATGTAGATGTAGATGTAGATGTAGATGTAGATGTAGATGTAGATGTAGGTGTAGATGTAGATGTATATGTATATGTATATGTAGACGTAGACGTAGACGTAGACGTAGACGTAGATGTAGATGTAAATGTAGATGTAGATGTAGACGTAGACGTAGATGTAGATGTAGATGTAGATGTAGATGTAGATGTAGATGTAGATGTATAGATGTAGACGTAGACGTAGATGTAGATGTAGATGTAGATGTAGATGTAGATGTAGATGTAGATGTAGATGTAGATGTAGATGTAGATGTAGATGTAGATGTAGATGTAGATGAAGATGTAGATTTAGACGAAACACATTTACGGGAGATTGTTTGCTCAAGGTTATATTTCTGTATTTATGCGCCACTCGGACATTTTAAATAATCTTCTAAAGAGCCACAGAACTCGAGCAGAGATAAATTGGTTAGCACGCACAAATCACGCACGCGTATGCAGACACCAACACAGCCACACACACGCGCACGCGCGCGCGCGCTTGGTGGTTCGTTATTACCTCCGCCACGGAGTGGAGCGGAGGTAATGTAATCGGTCTCGTGTGTGTGTGTGTGTGTGTGTCCAGTCCGCGCGGCGCGATCGATAGCGCGTCGAGTCAGCGAGCGGCGAGTCAGTGTAATAAGGAATAAATCATAGGTTAAAGGAATAACAAATTAGAAGAATTACACGAAAAATGGTCAGTCAAATAGCATGGGACAAAGGCCTTTGTTTAAGGCGAGAGGCCGGACGGGCCCCGCCATCTTGGACGCTCCAGTGGTCACGATGGGACAAAGGCCTTTGTTTAAGGCGAGAGGCCGGACGGGCCCCGCCATCTTGGACGCTCCAGTGGTCACGCGGGCCAGGCTTGACCAATGGGAGAGTAGGGCTTGAGAACGAACGGGGATGAGTATAAAAGCAGGAGGGACGGGACACAGGCGCTCTTACCCGTTCGCTCTCGAATCACGACACGTACGTCACGTATATATACTGTGCTAACATTTAGACTATCTACCGTGCTACCAGTTTCGACTATCTGCTACTATGTAAGTTATCTGTCTATGTCGCGTAACTATCTGTATACGTCGGCTCCGCACCGGAGTACCTATTATATGTGTAGAATTTCGGAATCAGTAAAGATGTGTGTGTTCGTAATACGTATAACCTTTGTTGAGTTTATTATATGATAGTTAACGCGATAACTCCAATAATATTACGCATTAACCCTAGCGATCACGGGGTAACGAACAGCGGTATTACATCAGCAGCAGGCGAGTGAGTCAGCAGCAACCACCAGCGAGCGGCGAGTCAGCAGCCGCCACCAGCGAGCGGCGAGTCAGCAGCAGTGTGTGTGTCTGTGTGGCTGGTAGTGGCAGACGAACGGGCGCGGCAGCGGCTGCGGTGCAGACGACTCGACCGGCAGTCACGCACGAATCGATTTTCACTTTCGCGGCGAAAAAAAGGGCGTGCGGAAAATCACCTTCAAGTTAATTTCGCATAATTGCAGAAAGTAGAAAACTGTTCAACAACGTTCGCCGGCTTTTGTCGATCGGTCGAAACTCGGCGCTGGCTAGAGTACTCGGAATAATTTATTGCGCAAAAAAAATCGAGACTGCTATTATTGCTAGGTCTGCTGCTTGCAAATCGAGCGGTCGTCGGCGGGGGTTGCATGCGTGCATGCGTGCGACATGCACCAAGGGAAGGAAGGGGGTAGCGCGAGCACATTGCACACACGGCTACTACTAGACTCCTTTCTGGTCTTTCGTCTGGTTTTCTTTTGGTCTTCTGGCTACTAGACTTTCTTCTGGCCTTTCTTCTGGTCTTTCTTCTGGGGTTCCTTTGGTCTTCTGGCTACTAGAGTTTCTTCTGGCTACTATAGACTTCTTTCTGGTCGTTCCTCTGGGTTTCCTTTGGTCTTTTGGCTGTTAGGCTTTCTTCTGAGTATTAGCCTTCTTTCTGGTCTTTCTTCTGGGTTTCCTCTGGTCTTATAGCTACTAGACTTTCTTCAGCCTACTATAGATCCTTCATGGGTCGTGTATGTTAATGATGAGACTTGTCTCGTAGCCAGGTGACTGATAGAGTAGTGATCAATGAGTGCGTGCTGTAAACGTCTGTTGTTGGCATGATGCGGGGGGCACGTGCGCGCCGCATCCCAACCACCTTTGATCGAAGCTGTACAGTACAATGTCTCGCGTCGTGTTGGTAATGAACCATGTAATTAGTTGCCACGTGTACATGATGTGCCGAGCATCATCCGTCGTGATTGAGAGCAAGGTAAGAGTAATTTTTCCCCGGGTAGCATCTATATTCATCGATACCAGCATTACTATTGATTGCTATACGTTGACATCTGACGACGTGTCACATGCAGTCTTCAATGTGACAGACGTGCTGTCAGTCAGTCGTGTGTCGTAGACGATTGACGACTGTTTTGATTTGCTAATCGATTCAAGTGAATATGTTTTACAATACGCAAATATTCAACTAGAAGGGAATTGTGAGATATATATATCGTAAACACTATTATATTATCGTCGCAAACGTGCCAGTGAATATCTTTAATGATTGTGTAAACAAAAATACGCGCACTCGAGCCGTATTCAAACTGGTTACCAAGATCTTTGATTTGCGCGCCGTGGTCCAAGGAAGTGCAACTAGCACCGAGACGAACATGCAGGTGCAAAGGGTTAACCCCTTGTTTACCAACCGAATTTCCCCTCGCCTTTGTTTAAGCCTGATTATGGAACTCCAGTGTCAATATTGTTCGCGGGGAATGAATGAGCTTGCGGCTGGCGGTGTGATGCCACGTGAACCGTTGTCGCGTGTTTACTGTCCGACCTACAGCAGCGGGTCTTTTGTGTACGCAACCAGCTGTCATGGGACTTAGGATACACGAAATCTGGGTTCATTACACCGTCACTACTGCGGGTGGTAAATAGTGAACCTACGCTCACACGCGCGCGCGCTACAATGCACGCGGTTATTGTATATTATGGTAAACGTGTGCCGCGCCTATACTCAGCGAGATATATAAATACATATATATATATATATATATATACATATATATATAGATATAGATATATAGATAGATATATAGATAGATATATAGATACATATATATATATACATATATATATATGTGTATCTATATATCTATATATATATATATACATATATATAGATAGATATATAGATACATATATATATATATATATA